AAAAAAAAAAAAGCAAAAGCAGGAAGGAGATAATTTAAAAAATTAAACTCAAAATGTGTTGTCACAACAACTGTCAACTTACCCACGTCAATTTACAGCTTTGTTTGTCCAAAATCGCCCATTCAATAGTTTACAAAAAAATAGTTTTTTTCCAAAAGACAACAACAACAACAACAAATTTGCTAGAAAAATTCTGAATATTCTCCATCTTAATTTGAGGCATAAAATAGGCTAAAAAAAAATTTTTGAAATATTTTAAACACTAACAGCAACCCATCTGTCATTCACATGCAGTTCCGTGCATGCATGCTTTGGTTTTTACCCAAATTCAGGTATCAGCAATTATCAAAAAAAGAAAAGCAAAAAGCAAATAAACTGTGAAGAAAATTTGAAAACAAAAAATCAGGTTTAAAAGAAGGAAAAGAAAATTTTTGTAAATTGATTACGAGCAAAAAAAAAAAATTATGAATTTTTCTATTTGTTGTTCTAACATTAAAATGAAAATGACCGAAAAAAAAGAGAAGAAAAAGCAGCAGCACTCAAAAAGATTCTCCAAATTCTAAAGACATTATTGTTTTTTTTTCTTCTCACACAAATACTGAACAAAAAATAATAATGCAGGAAGTATTTTTTGGAGTGAAAAAATAAACTGCAAAAAAAAAGGGTAAAAAAACAGGAGAAAACTACCTTTCTTCTTCTTCTTCTTTTTTCAAATTTCTTAAAACAAAGAATAACCGTTGACAACAAAAAACATTTGTACATTTGATTTTTCAATTGTAATATATGGAAAAAATGAAGCAAATAGAAGAAAAAAAAAAAGAAGCAACTAACAATGTGTTGAACTGACAACTGAAACAGAACTCAATTTGCAGCAGAAAAAAGAAGACGAAAAAAATGAAAAAATTGCAAATGAATTATACAAAAAAGAAAGTTTTAAACTTTAGTAAATGAAACTTTTTTGCTGCTACTCTTTTGCAAAATAATAAACCTCAAAAAAAATTGGAACATTTCTGCCAGAAACACTTTGCAACATTTTTTTTGCAATGTTATCTTTCAATTTTCATTACTGCCTTCTTTGTTGCCCAGCAGTTTTCAAACAATGAAATATACCAGTTGAAAAATTTACATACTTTAACAACTTTTTACTAAACCAGAAAAGAAACACTTACTGAATAGTATAACTCAAAAATTGTAAATGATGAAGTGGTTTAGCTATAGCTAATAAACCGGTCTTCTAAAATAATCTTTTAAAGAAAGCACTCAAAAATAGTACAGCAATATCAGTGTCAACTCAAAAATTTTTTACTACATCTTATTCACTAACTTAACATTTACTATACTTTTTGAATACTATAATCTGATGTAGACAAAAAAATAAAACATTTCAACTTATTGCTATCCAAATTGAAACTTTCCTCCTTCAATGCAACTATAACTGGTTGATTTGACTTAAAGCTCTGATGGTTAAAATGTAGTAAGAAGTACTATCATCTAGGTCAAAAGTGAAAATAATAGATGCAGCTTTTAACATTATTCAGACCGGTTACATTATGACGAAAAATAAAAAATGAAGAAGAAAGAAAACAAAAAAAAAGTAGACAAAAAAGTTGCACATAACATAGTTTAGTTTTTAATGTCAATC